GGCTGTCGATGGCGCCGAGCACGCGGGCGACGCTCAACGAGGACACGTTGACCTCGTACATCCTGCAGGACGAGGCGATGCAGGAGGCCGAGCGGTCCCAAGAGCTATTGGCGCAGGTGAACTACGTCGCCCCGGCGAAGCAAGGCGGTCGACCGGGGCAGCGTGGACAGTCTGGCGGCAGTGGTAGCGGTGGCTCGAAGTCGGCCAAGGAGGTCGACAAGAAGAAGTCGACCAAGGACAGTGGCCGGGGAGGAGGAAGTCGACGCCGGGAGTGCTGGCTGTGCGGCGACCCCGACCACCTCTCCTTCGAGTGCCCCGACCGCAGTGACTCGGACGACGACGACAAGGGAGGCCGCGGGAGGTCTGGCAGTCGTCGACCTCGTCGAGGAGGAAGTCAATCGCGCAAGGAGAAGCAGTCGACCAAGTCGTCGACCTCGGCGAAGGACGCCGACTCCTCTGCTGGCGGCAAGGGGAGCGGCGACAAGTCGGCGTCGTGCTCCCTGGTCGGCGTTGTGGAGCCGACCGTCTCACTGGCGCCGGAGGCCGGTGAGGACTTTCAAACGATGGCAGCAGCAGTGCAGGCGAACCCGGCGGTGGTCCTACTGGACAGCGGCTGCTCCCACCACCTGATGGGGACGAAGGAGGTCTTCGTCGACATGGGGCCGAGCGGCGACTTGAAGCACGTGCGTGGCTTCAATGGGGCGCTGCAAGACGTCCAGGGCCGGGGCACGGTTGCGTTGCAAGGCGAGGCCGGGAAGCAGGTTCTCATCCCCGACGTGCTGTACGTCCCGGGTGTGCGGGCAAACCTGTTGTCGTCTGGTCAGCTGAAGGAGCATGGCGTGAAGTTTCAAGAGGACGGCGACGGGATGCTGCTTGTCTCGGCAGCAGGAGAAGTGCTTGGTCGGGCGACGTACTCCGGGCGAGTCCTCTGCACCGACCTGCGTCCCTGCTCACCGAGGTCGACGTCGCCCACGCCGGAGGTTGTGGCCCTGCGGGCGATCGTCTCCAAGGCGAAGTCGACGCCGGACAGGATGCACGCACGCCTTGCGCACGTCGGCCTGGATACCATCAGGAGCTCGGCGAAGAACGAGGTCGCCATTGGGCTGGACCTCAAGTCGGCGACGGGTACCGACTCACCGTGTGTCTCGTGCGTCGGTGGGAAGCTGGCGAGGCACACCTTCCCCGACCAAGGCTCCGACGCCGCCGACGTGCTAGCCGTCGTCCACATCGACTTGTGCGGGCCATTCCGGGTGGCTGCCAAGGACGGCAGCCTGTACTTCTTGCTGCTGAAGGACCGTAAGTCCCGCTACGTGTGGGTGAGGCCGGTCGCCAAGAAGTCGGATGTGCTGCTGGAGTTCCAGAAGTGGCTGGTGCTGGTGGAGAGGCAGACGAAGAAGTCGGTGTTGCAGCTACGCTCTGACCGAGGAGGGGAGTTTCTCGGCAAGGCCTTCACCGCCTTCGTGGACGGCAAGGGGATCGTCCACGACCTAACCTGCCCGTACACCCCGCAGCAGAACGGCATGGCGGAGCGGGAGATGCGGACGGTGGTGGAGTCGGTGAGGACGATGCTGCTGCACATGGGCGTGCAGCACCACTGGTGGCACCTCGCCCTGCGGCAGGCCGTCTGGATCCGCAACTGCTCGGTGTAATGTTGTGGACGACGCCGAGGTCGTCCACCCTTCCTTTCCCTCCCCTGCCCCTCCCCTCGTCGACCTTCGTGGGCTGACTCCGTCGTCGGCCTCCGGCGATGAGGGGAGCAGTGGGACGTCGCCTGGGACGTCGCCTGTGCCCCCGACCAAGGGCATCGTCGGTGGCCGACAGGACGAGCAGCAGGTCGACCTGGGAGTGCAGTCGACCTGAATTTTATTGCATATTCTAGTGGCCCATATTCAAATACACATACTAGAGCCTTTTCAGCTTGGTTCTTGCGCGAAGAAAAGTTCGGCGCCCACGATTTCGGCCGTTTTTGCCGCCAAGTGCCTAGAAAGTGCGTGAATCCCTATAGGCGTAGGGAAAAGCATTCAAAAACCTGAATTTTATTGCATATTCGAGTGGCCTATGTTCAAATACACATACTAGAGCATTTTCAGCTTGGTTCTTGCGCGAAGAAAAGTTTGGCGCCCACGATTTCGGCCGTTTTTGCCGCCAAGTGCCTAGAAAGCGCGTGAATCCCTATAGGCGTAGGGAAAAGCATTCAACAACCTGAATTGTATTGCATATTGCATTGGCCCAAGTTCAAATACACATACTAGAGCCTTTTCGGCCTGGTTCTTGCGCGAAGAAAAGTTCGGCGCTCACAATTTCGGCCGATTTTGCCGCCAAGTGCCTAGAAAGCGCGTGAATCCCTATAGGCGTAGAGAAAAGCATTCAACAACCTGAATTTTATTGCATATTCAAGTGGCCTTTGTTCAAATACACATACTAGAGCCTTTTCAGCTTGGTTCTTGCACGAAGAAAAGTTCGGCGCCCACGATTTCGGCCGTTTTGCCGCCAAGTGCCTAGAAAGCGCGTGAATCCCTATAGGCGTAGGGAAAAGCATTCAACAACCTGAATTGTATTGCATATTCGAGTGGCCCATGTTCAAATATACATACTAGAGCCTTTTCGGCTCCGTTCTTGCGCGAAGAAAAGTTCGGCGCCCACGATTTCGGCCGTTTTTGCCGCCAAGTGCCTAGAAAGCGCGTGAATCCCTGGGAAAAGCATTCAACAACCTAAATTTTATTGCATATTCGAGTGGCCCATGCTCAAATACACATACTAGAGCCTTTTCAGCTTGGTTCTTGCGCGAAGAAAAGTTCGGCGCCTACAATTTCGGCCGTTTTTGCCGCCAAGTGCCTAGAAAGCGCGTGAATCCCTATAGGCGTAGGGAAAAGCATTCAACAACCTGAATTTTATTGCATATTCCAGTGGCCCATGTTCAAATACACATACTAGAGCCTTTTGGGCTTGGTTCTTGCGCGAAGAAAAGTTCGGCGCCCACGATTTCGGCCGTTTTTGCCGCCAAGTGCCTAGAAAGCGCGTGAATCCCTATAGGCGTAGGGAAAAGCATTCAACAACCTGAATTTCATTGCATATTCCAGTGGCCCATGTTCAAATACACATACTAGAGCCTTTTCAGCTTGGTTCTTGCGCGAAGAAAAGTTCGGCGCCCACGATTTCGGCCGTTTTTCGCTTAGTGCCTAGAAAGCGCGTGAATCACTATAGGCGTAGGGAAAAGCATTCAACAACCTGAATTTTATTGCATATTCCAGTGGCCCATGTTCAAATACACATACTAAAGCCTTTTCATCTTGGTTCTTGCACGAAGAAAAGTTCGGCGCCCACGATTTCGACCGTTTTTGCCGCCAAGTGCCTAGAAAACCAATTAATCCCTATAGGCATAAGAAAAAGCATTCAACAACCTGAATGTTATTGCATATTCGAGTGGCCCATGTTCAAATACATCTACTAGAGCCTTTTTTGGCTTGGTTTTTGTGGAAAGAAAAGTTTGGCGCCTACGATTTCGGCCGTTTTTTTCCGACAAATGCCTAAAAAGCCCATTAATCCCCATAGGCGTAAAGAAAAGCATTCAACAACCTGAATTTTGTTGCATATTCGAGTGGCCCATGTTCGAGTACACCTACTGAAGCCTTTTCAGCTTTATACAAAGAAAAGTTCGGCGCCCACGATTTTTGCCGACAAATGCCTAGGAAGCCTATTAATCCCTATAGTTGTTAGGAAAAACATGTAACAACCTGAATGTTAATGCATATTTGAGTGGCCCATGTTCATATACACCCACTAGAGCATTTTTAGCTTTCATGTGCAAAGAAAAGTCAGTTGCTTATAATTCCGACTGTTTTGCCGATAAATGCATGAAAAGCCCATTAATCCTTATAGACCTAAGGAAAAGCATTCATAACCTAAATGTTCGGGCCGTTCGATGCTTTTCCCTACGCCTATAGGGATCCATGCGCTTCCTTAGCATTTGTCGGCAGACGCAGCCGTCATCGCGGGCGCCAAACTTTTCTGCGCGTGCGAACCAAGCCGAACTTGCTCTAGTAGGTGGATTTGAGCCTGGCCGTTCGATGCTTTTCCCTACGCCTATATGAATTTATATGTTTCCTATGCAATTGTCGGCTCAAACAACCGAAATAATAGGTGCCGAACTTTTTTTTGCGCACGAACCAATCCAAAAGGCTCTAATAGGTGTATTTGCAAATGAGCTACTCGAATATGCAATAACATTCAGGTTGTTAAATGTTTTTTTAAGCAATTGTTATTTTACAATGTGCATGCAATACAATGGCCGTACAGCTCTGACAATAGTCATTAAAGCGACGGGCAACTTTTGGCAGTGTTGGGTTCAGAAGTTTTTTTTTTGAACCAGGCTTGCCAGCGCGAAAGTGTTGGCTGGCGAAAACCAGGATTTCGTGCAGACACTTTTCATCTGCAGTAACAGTTCGCCAGGGTTCTGGGTTTTGGGTGGCAAATGTGCACCGTCGCTTTAAAACACAGAGGGATACAAAACTGGACCTAGGGAAGAAGCGTTGGAAGTATTTTGCACACACCCTAAATGGCACACACACACCCTAAACGCCTAGCTTCAAAATTGTTTAAGGGGTGGCGCTGCATTTGCGAGCGCCAGCCCTTTCCTTTGTGGCAAACTGCAGCCTGGTGGAGTCACCACCAAGGCTTCACAGCGTGCTGCTGCTTCATGCACTCGTGCACTAATGTTGCCTTGGGGCATGGTGGGGTGCTGCTATCATAAACCACCTCTCAGGGGCCAGCAGCACACACCAGCTCTGTCAGTGGGGACTGTACACACCAGTGCTGCTGCTCCACCTGCCGTCTCACACCCTCTGCCACCCTCTGCTCTGCTGCTATTATCAGCAGAGGCTGTTCCAATTCTTCCGATTCTTTCGATCCCCCTACCCTCCCTGTTGCCCCTACTGGGCTCCACAAGCCCTGTCACCGCTTTCAACTCTCCCCAACCACACCTTCTTTCGCCCCCATCCACCTTACACTCTCAGCACGGCGCACGCGAGAATGGCGCCCTTCCCGCCGCCCATGCCGCCCACGGCCTCCCAGTTGAGTAACCGTTCACTGGGGCGCACGAGCATGGCCGCAAGCAGCCCCTTGGGCGTGCGCGCATCCTCCTCGCGCCCGCGCCTGTCCTCCTCCGCGGGGTCCCAGCAAAACACCTCCTCCAATCTTACCCTCCCGCCGCCAAACCCGCCATTGCTCCTCGCCTCGCGCGCGCCGCCCAGCAAGAACAGCTTCCCTTGAAAGGCAATCATGCCCACGCCGCGCGTCGCACTGCTTTGCCGCCTGAAGTTGCCGACGCCCGAGCTGCTGACGTGGAGCGAGGGGATAGGCCCGCACTTGCGCCACTCGCCCGTGGCGGCGTCGCGCACGACGAGGCGCGACTGGTGGATGGCGTAGAGATCGCCGTTGAGCACGGCCATGGGGCCCGGGATCTGGGGGGGAAAGGGAGAGGGAGGGAGAGCAGCAGGACGGATGAGAATTATGGAAAGAAAAAAAAAATATCGGATGCGGGTGATACCAGGCAGATCTGGAAGACCAGAGATCGACCATTCACCATCACTCACCCGCCACCCGCCAATTAAGCCCTGTCCCGCCCTCAATAGCCCCATGCGTCGCTGCCCTCTGACTTCCTCTCTACCCTCTCCACATTCGTTCCCCCGTCGCTCCCCCTCGCTCACCTTGCAGTCGTCGATCCACGCGTGGGGCACCAGGTCCCACCGGTCGCTCTGCCGGTCGTACACCTCGATCGACGCCGTGCTCTCGCGCGCCTGTCCGTCTCCGTCATGACGTAACCCCATGACGTCAGCAGTCGAGCTGTCAGGCCGCTGCACCTCCCCCGCGATCACCGTCAGCTGCCCCCCGAGCACCACGGCGCGGTGCCCGCATCTCGCGGCGTGCATCGCGCTGATGCTCCGCCATTGACCGGTGAGCACGTCGAAAATCTGAAGCGGTTAATGAAATTGTGGGAGTTCAAGAGGAGGAGAAGTCACTAAGCTTAGTACTACCAGATTATTCTTGTTGTGATGGATATTTTTGGCGTTCATTGAAACGAGCCTCTTATACTTCTCCTATTGCGAGCGCACAATTTACGGCTGAGATAAACGCAAGTGGTCGGACCCACCTCGGCGGATCGCAGGAACGCGTGTCGGCCCTGTCCGCCGGTAACCACGATGTAACGGCCGTCCAACACCTCCGCGGCGGGCGAGATGCGCGCCTCGCCCATCGGCGCGCAGAAATCCCAGCGCCACGCGACGGGGTCGAACACACGCACCCGCGCCGTCGCGACGTCTGCGCAACCCATTACCGATGGGGATGCTGACGTCACGCGCTCGCAGCCACCAATGACGTACATCTTCCCGCCCGCAGCCACCGTCGCGAATTCTGAAAGCCCCTCATTCTTGGACCGACCAGGAATGGGCGGCACGGCGCGCCATGATTTGGAGTTGGGGTCGAACGCGCGGAACGCGCCCTGGTCGGGGTCCTCTGGGAGCACGAAGAGCCACTCCTCGATCACGCCCGCCGCCTCTCGCGCCTGGAAGAACGCTTCGCTAGACACGGCGGAGCTCCAGGACTTGGAGACTGTATTGAGCGCGCAGTGCAGGTGGCGCGGAAGACGCAGGAGCGCCTCGTGAGAAACCTCGTCGGGAATTGATGCGAAGATGGTGCCAAGGGAGTGATGGCAGGGAGTTGTCTCGTGAAGAGTTCCCATCGCGTCTGGAGGCGTAAATAATTAAACTGACGATGGTTCAGGCAATGACACGTGAAGAAAATCGAAGCTACACGGTTGTAGAAACTAAGATTGCAAGAACGACGGGCTAGGAGTTAGAACTGGTGCACAAGCAAGAACAAATGAAGTGAGAAAATGGGAGCGAAAATGCAGAGAAGCGAATTTACGACAATAAGGTGAAGGTGAAGGGAAGAAAAGGTTGAGGCCCAAGAGGTTGGGGGGATTGCGCGAAAGATTTCGCCGGATGCTGTGCGACAATCTGCGGTGATGACGTGCCTCAAAACCGTTCATCAGAATAGCCACGTGGGGGACGTCAGAGATTCATCCACCCTTCGAAATTCCCATGAACCACCAATAGTGATTCTTGGTTTCTGGAAGGGAAGTTGTTTGACCTTTCCGTATGCGAGGGGTCATTGAATGACGCGTCTGAATGCAGAGCACACGTCACTATCGAAGTCATCATGCGTGGCCCAACGCAGCTTCCGTTGCGATGACTGGCTGAGCGATCGTCAGATTTCTCTGGCGAAAACGAACTCGCGAACAGTGCACATCCCACCACACAGCTGCTTGACACCCCCCGTCAGATTTCTCTCAACCATGCGGTGCGACAGTGTATGCGATTTTCCAAATTGCAATCATAATCCTCCCACCGCAATCATGGCATCCGAGAATGCAGTAATCCTGGCCAAGTATGCTTTCCCACGTGGCAATGGTGGAAATAACTACAATCCTACTACACCTTGAAACGTAAGAGTATTTTGACATGAGTGATACATTATTAATAAATTACACCACAAGCAGAATCTTTGCAGCACGCCACGAAATTAGTGTTATTGTCAGAGGAATTGCGCCATGCGCGCATCTCTAGGGGTGTCAGGAACTTGAACGAATGGTAGCTTCAGAAGCTGTTATGGAACGTGGAAAAAACAAAGGACAAATACGAGGAGAGATGACTCAGATTTACTTCCAAGAGGAAATTAATGGTAGTACCACCGGATGAAGTGCGCCTAATGAGCCCGACGCATTACAGGCAATTGCATCAAACACCCCAATGTGTCATGGTGCACAAAATACACCCCACCCCACCCCAGCATCTCACCTCGGTGGCGGACGGTCTGTCGTAGGGCTCGATGTGGAAGCACGCCTCGAGGAACTCGCGACCCTCATCCGATATGCCCTCGGGAATGGGCGGGCCCGTGGTGGTCTTGGCGATGTGGAAGATGGCCGACCACGTGTTGTCCATGCCCGGCCATGGGTGGCTGGTGTGGGGTCATGGGGGACGCATGCAGGGGGAGCGGGGGAGAGGGGGGGAGGGGAGGGGGGAGAGCATACGGATGGAGCTGAAAGTTGGAAAAGGCTTTTAGAATAAGAGAAGAATCTGAAGATGCAGGGCAAGTGAGGAATAGTGGTAGAGAGCAGCAGGGGCAGTGAGCGCAGTGAGCATCTCAATGACAGTGCAGGTGAGGCTTCAGATGTCAGCCAACTACACCCAGCCCAATGTTTACCCAAAACCACCTAGCCTCACCCAACCTCTCCCAACTCCATTGCCCGCACTGCTCCCACTTGCCCGTGAGCATCTCTCACCTGCCGGTGAGCATTTCAATGACGGTGCAGCCGAGGCTCCAGATGTCAGCACGGCGGCCGTACCCCTCGCCCTTAATCACCTCGGGCGCCATCCAGAACACCGACCCGCGGATCGACTTGCACCCCTCGCCCACCGTGCCCTCGTGGAACGCCTGCGGGTGGGAAGGGGAGGGCGAGGTTGTGGGAGGAGGGGAGGGACGATGAGAGAGGTTGCAATCAAGACAGTGTCAGAAGCACAGGCAAAACATTTCAGAACAAGTTCGCCCCACTCATCCCATTTCACTCGCCCAGCAACACTTGCCCCACCTTCCACTCGCCTCCCCTCCCCGTCCCCCCCGCCCCAATTCGCGCAGCAAGGCTCACCTTCAAGGTTCAAAATTACGACCGAATTATTGAAATTCTACCGTATAATACGGAATCGTATAAAACGACCGTAAAATACGGTTTTCAAAAATTCAGTGATTGCTAGGAGGAAAACTACGTTTTTTAAAAGTCTATCAAAAATACGGCGTATTATTTTATTTTTGGCCGTAAAAAACGACCGTATTATACGGACCGTATAATACGATAACCGTAATTTTGATCCTTGCTCACCTTGGAGGCACCAAAGTCAGCGAGCTTAATAACCCCATCCCTGTCGACGAGCACGTTGCCGCCCTTGATGTCGCGGTGGATGATCTTGCAGCCGTGCAGATACTCCAACCCCAGCAGCAGCTGCCGCGTGTACACGCGCACCAGCGACTCACTGAACTTGCCGAATTTCTCCAACATGCTGCCACGGGGGTGCGGTGCGGGGGAGAGGGGGGAAGGGAGCGGGAGGGGAGGAGGAAAGGAGAGGAGAGAGTGGAGCGGGAGACGTAGGAAACAGGCCAGGCGTGCAGGTAATCCCATGTGTGCACACCCACACCAGCGACTCACATCTTGCTAAACCTCTACAAGCAGGTGCAGGGGCTACAAGCTGCAGTCAGCTCCCTCGCCTGTGCAGCGAACCGCCGGACACAAGCTCAAGGAAGATGTAGAGGGAGCCATCAGCCTCGTCCTTCTCCACGTCACGATGTACCGGTGCCACATCTGGCGCTACAGCACGTCCTTGCTGCCTTAAAACATTGAAAGAACAGAACCTTTGCCAAGCGCCTTCCCTCACCTGTGCAGCGACCCGCCAGAGACAAGCTCGAGAAAGATATAGATGGAGCCGTCAGCCTCGTCCTTCTCCATGTCTATGTACCCCACGATGTGGCGGTGGCGCATCTGGCGGTACAGCACGATTTCGCGCTCCAGAGAGGCGATCAGCATCGCCTTCTCGTCGCCCGCCGTCGTCATCTTGATCTGCTTCACCGCCATCAGCTCCCCCGTCATCTCATTGAGGCCCAGGAAGACCTGCGTTGAGGGAGTAGTGGGTGGATTGGGGGGTGGAGTGGGGTGGAGAGGGGTGGAGTGGGTGGAGTGGAGAGGGGTGGGCAGTGATGAATGGGGATTTGATTTGCTTCACCGCCATCAGCTCTCCCGTCATCTCGTTCAGGCCCAACAAAATGAGGATGGAGCGGGATGGAACGGGGAGGGAGGGCCAATGATCGCAGGGCAAACTGAGGTGGTTGCATGGCAAGTCATGAGTGGGGATGGGAGTGGGAATAAGAAGGATTCTTGCAATTTGCACACCCCACCATATGTTCTCCTCACCTCCCCCGCCCTCACCTCCCCAAGGCCTCACCTCCCCCTGGCCACACCACGCGCTCCCCTGTGTCTCACCTTGCCGAAGGCGCCCTCCCCCAGCAGGTCGCCCTTCTTCCACTTGAGTGTGCCCAGCGGGGATGCTGACATGGACACCGACCCTGACGCTGCAAGGGCCTTTGCCACGCTGGCAGACGAGGTGGTTGACGTGGCACTGGTGGTGGTGGCGGAAGGGGAGGAGGAAGGGGAGGACGACTTGCCATCACTTTCATTCCCCTCACTGCCACTGCCCGCACTCCCCCCCTCTGCCCGTCCCTCCCCCTTCCCACCCTTCCCATGCCCCGCTTCACCCTCCTGCTTCTTCCCCTCCTCCCCCATTACATCTTTGCCCGATTTCAGGTCCCCCCCTCCGCCCTTCTCCCCGCCCTTGGCCTGCTTCTCTGCGCCCTTCTCCTCCCGCCCCTCCCCACTGCCATCCGCCTTGCCACCAAGGGGAGAGGCGGAGGGCGTGGAGGGGGAGCGGGGCGAGGGGGTGGCGGGGGAGGCAAGGGGGGACGACTGGTTGGGCGGGGAGGCGGAAGGGGAGGGCGCAGAGGGGGAGGAGGTAGCAGGCGAGGAGGGGGACGAGGGGGAACCACCACCAGACGCAGCCTTCCCTCTGCCCGCCGCATCACCCCTCTCTTCCCCCTCCTTATCCCCTCCTGCACCCGCTTTCCCATGCCCTGCAATCCCCCCTGCTGCAGCAGCAGCAGCAACAGCCGCTCGCCGGCGGGGGGACACGGGAGGGCGGGGAGACATCCGTCTGTCGCCGTACCGCCGATGGCGCCTCACCCCGCCACCCTCACTGCCACTCTCCGTCTCCTCCTTCCCCGACCCCCCGTCGCTCTCGCCCTCGCTCTCGCCCCTCTGCCGCCCATGCTGGTTTGGGGAGCCGTCATCGCCTGCAGAGGGCAGGGCGAAGGACACGGACTTGCGCACGCGGGCAGGGGGGCGGGCCGCGGTTGAAGTGCCACCACTGCTGCTGCTGATGCTTCTGCCCACTGGAGTGTGGCTCCCACTGCCACCTGCACCTGAAGCTCCAGCACCACCAGTAGCAGCACCAGCCGCACCAGCAGCAGCACCGGTAGTGGTAGTGCTTGCACCACTCGGGCTGGTAGCAGAACTTCCGTTAGCAGCATTTGCACCACTCGCCTTCTCAGCATTGGCATTAGCAGCAGCAGCGGCAGCAGAAGCAGAAGCAGGGGCGGCAGCTGCAGGCCCCCCTCCTTTACCCTGCCCCGACGGCTGCAGGGCCTTCCTCTCCCCCATCGCCGCCCGCTCGCCATCCGTCAGAATCTCCCCGCGCACTGAAGACGCTCGCCGCCACCCACCCGAGGCGTGCGCGGACGGCAGGCGGGCGGACATCGGCGTTTTCACCGACACTTCGGTATCACTCGTCGACACCTCGCCCCCCCCATCCGCCCCTCGCTCCCTCCCGCTCCCTCTCTCTCTCCCCTTGTCACTACCCAGCGCACCAGTCAGCCTTAAATCCCTCACATGCTGCTGCTGCTGCCTGCCGTTGCCTCTATCCACCCCTACCCCCACCCCTTCGCCTGCCACCGCTCGCATGCTCTCAATGTGTCGCTCACCCAGACTGCCCACTCGCAGCAGCGGCCTGGCGTCTGCTACCCGCCTGCCCTCTGTCTCAGACCCATACTGTGCATCCAATCGGAAGTTCTCCAGCTTCGACCCCCTCTCGCCCGAACCCTTTTCCACCGCATCCAACCCTGCACCATCATCACCTCCGCCCCCACCAGAATCGCCGGCACCCCCGGCACCCGCACTTGCTCCCGCGCCCGCCGCGCCGTCTCTCCTGCCCGCATGTCCGCCTGCTGCTGCTGCTCGCCTGGCCTCTGCACCCGCTCTGCTCTGCCCAGCCGCCTGTGGGCCCAAGGGGATACCGCCTCTGTGAGACCCGTCCAGGCTCACAGACTGCGACCGTGCATGCCTCCCTGCCCGCATCCCCCTCCCCATGAGCCCCACTCCCGCCCTCCCTCCTCGGCCCCCCCGCCCATCCATCCCCCCTCCCCCACGACCTCCTGAACGCCCTGTAGAGTTTCCAGAGGCTGGGCTTGCGGTTCGGGACCGCCGAACCTGGGAGTTTGGTCCGTCGGCATCGGAGTGGCAGTCCGAACCTCCAGCAGGGGAGGCAGCGCTGATGGGGGAGCCTTGGGTGGGGCTGCTGGCAAGCAGAGGGGAGAGCGAGGTTGGGGAGGGCGATGGGCGGTGGCCTGAGTCACTGAGAGTGCGATGGTATCGCAGCTGCGGCTGAGACACCATGTGCGCCGCTCCCCCTTGTCCCTGCGCCTGACCCTGCGCCTGTGCGCCCCCCTGTGCCTGCGCCTGCCCCTGTCCCTGCCCCTGCGCCTGCCCCTGTGTCTGACCCCGTGCCCCTGCTGTCCCTGCCCCTGCTGCTGTTCCCCCACCGGCCTGCCCTGTTGCCGCTGGTCCCCCTAAACCCCCTGAGCGCCGCACCCCCACCCTTCTCCGCCGCTCACCAGCGCCGTCCGTTTCACTCGAGCTGTCACACGCCTCCCGCCCATCCTCTCCTCTCCTTTCCCCCCCCACACCGCGCACCCCTCCCCTCTCCTGCCCACTGCCGTGCTGCTCCCCGCCTGCCCTACCAGAAGCACCGGTGGGAGCGAGGGAGATGGGGAAGGTGGGCGAGGTGGTGTCATCGTCCCTGTCATGCTCCCACGCCTTCTGAAACAGCTCCTCCTTGCTCTCCAGGCCTTCGCCCCCAAGCCACTCCGCGCCCTCCCCACTCCCCTCCCTGCCGTTGCTGCTGCCGCTGCCATAGCTCTGCTGCTGCGATACGCGCTGGTTCTGGTTCAGGCTGTTGCTGTGCCCGAAGCCCTGGCTGCCGCTGTTGCTGCTGGCACACCGCAGCAGCTCCCTGTTTCCGCCAGCATCCCTGCCCCCATCGCCTGCATCAAAACCCGTCCGCGCCCTCAGCTCCGCCAGCCACGCCGCGCCCCTCTGACTCCTACCCCCGCCCCCTGCAATCCCCTCAAAGTCACCGCCCATTCCCCCATCCTCCTCCCCCTCCACACCCAAGCCCAACCCCAACCGTCTCCCCGACCCAGACCTGCCCAACTCAGGCCTGAACCCGCCAATATCCTCCAAGCCTCCCCCCGAACCTCCCAGCAGACCCGAGCCTCCCAAATCCCCTGAAAGCAAGTCCCCTTCCTCAAAACTAGTGCTTTGGCGGAACCCCCCGAGTCCCCCCGCGCGTGTGGCGGCGTCCAGGGGGGCGGCGGCGGGGGAGGCGGAGTCAGGGGCGGCGCAGCGCTGGTGGTAGTCGTGCAGCTTGCGGAAGAGCGCGCCAATGCGGTCCGACGACGTCAGCTCCTGCGGCAGCAGCCCGTCCCTGTTGCGCGCGTACATGTTTGCCCCCGCCACCAGCAGCAGCTTTATTATGCTCCTGAAGGGGGTGGGGGGGAGGGAGTGGAAAAGAGGAAAGGAAGGGGGGAGGAGAGAGGGGATGGGGGAAGGAGGGGGGGAAGGGGAGGGGTAGGGTGGGGGTGGTTGTGGGAGGTGGGGGTTGGTGGGAATGGATGAGTGAGTGGGGGCGTGGACAGAGATGGTTGGTTGCGCGCGTACATGTTGGTCCCCGCCACCAGCAGCAGCTTTATTATGCTCCTGCGCACACGGGGGAAAGGAAACGGGAAGGTGAGGAGGGGAGGGAGGGAGATACGCAAGACAAAGGGAATGTGGTTGTGCGAGATGGGGGTTGGTGAGAATGGATTAATGAGTGCTGAGGGGACTGAGAAGCTTGAGGGGTAGTGTGAGAAGTCGGCAATGACCCTCTCCCCTCCTCCAGCCCCCCCTCCCCTCTCCCACGCCACCATTCACTATCCCCCTCCCCCTAAGCCCCATGCCCAAGACGATCAGGCGACCCCCCCCCTTCACGCACCTGTGGCCGGTGGCGCAGGCGTAGTGCAGCGCGGAGCAGAGGCGCGCGTCCGTGGCGTTGATGTCGGCGCCGTTGGTGAGCAGCAGCCGCACCGCCTCCTCGCTGCCCGCCTGCACCGCTGACATCAGTGGCGGCGACTGCCCTCCCTGCGCGCCAATGCATTCCCAGGGGGAGTGAAGGGGAGGGGTGTGGAGGGCGGAAACAGGAAGTAAGATGATTGTGGGGTTGCGGGGGGGAAGAAGAGGAGGGTACGGAACTGGGGCGGCAGGAGGGAGGCTCAAGAGGGCAGGGTGGTAAGCCACCCCATATACTTAGTGTAGAAGAATCTTCACGGAACCAGACGTTAAGCAGAGCAGTATGAAAACCCCCATTATGGAACCCTCAACGCCCCTCGGCCGGCCATGCACGCTCCCATGCCAGGGCGCGCGCGTGCCTCACCTCAGCGGCGGCGGTGCCCCCGTCGGGGTCCGCGCCCCACTCCAGCAGCAGCGCCGCCGCGTCCAGGCTGCCCGCCACCACCGCCTCGTGCAGCGCCGTCCTCCCCGTCGCTGCCGCCGCGCAGCGCAGCCCACGCGCGCGCAAGGAAGATGGGAAGAGAGTCAATCAGAAAGGGTGACGGGGGGGAAGGGAAGCGAGGGGGATGCGAGACGGGAGAAGGGAGACGGGAGAAAGGAGATGGGAGAAGGGAGATGGGAGGGTCGGAGGATGTGGAGGAGTGGGTGAGGGTGCGGTTGTGCGGCAGGGGGGAATAAAGGGGGCAGCGGGTGTGTAGGGACGAGCGAGAACTACTCAAATACCCACATGCGGAGCGGTAGAACTACCTGGGTGCAGCGCGTTGAGGAGCGCAGTGCGCGAGGAGGCCTCCTGCAGCACGCTGTTGAGCAGCGCCACGTCGTTCGCGTGCGCCGCCTCCACCAACTTCAACACCGCCTTCAGCTGCACCCCCGCCCCGCCCCCCACGCTCATCCCCGCGCCCGCTCCCCCCACTAATCCCCCTCCGCCGCCGCCGCCTCCTCCGCCTACCCCTCCCAAATCCTCGTCCGCGAACCCCAGCATGCCCGCGCCGGCTCCGCCGAATCCCCCGCCTCTGCCTTGTCTAAGCTCCCCCGCCAGCCCCAGCAGTTCCTCCGCGCCCATGCGCCTTCCGCCCCCCGCGCCTGCGCCCATCCCCATGCCGCCATCGATGAAGTCCAGCGCCGACGACCCTCCACCGGGCTTCCCCACGAGGTCTGCGAAGCTGTCCCCTCCGCCGCGCCACGAGCTGGCGGAAAAGGAAGCCTGGGGGAACGGGGTTTGGTTGGCACGGCAAAGAGCAGACAAAGATTTTACGGCACTCCGAACCCGTGGACGACATGCATGGAAGGAGGAAAGGGGACTCGCTGACGTCGCATGGGCAGTAACCGGACGAAAACGAAAGAAAGTTAAAAAAAAAAAAAAAAAAAAAACGACTGATGAAAAGCGCTGCTGCTCGTACCGGATCAGAGGACAGATCCGGCCAGCCGTCTTGGCGGCCTGTATGACCGTTGGCGAAGTCGCTCTCCCTGTGACTCAGCACCCTCCGTAACTCCGCTGCCCCGTCCCCTCCTCCCAGCCGCATGCTCCCGCCATACCTGCCGCCACCCACGCTATCGTACCGCCCCCCCAGGTCCCTCCCTGCGGCGTCCGCCAGCCGCTCCACGTCCATGCTCGCGGATCCCGCGCCCAGATGCCGCCCCCGCATCGCCGCGAACAGCGCCTCGCTGTCCACCACACTACTTCCGATGCCGCCTCCCATGCCGCCGATGCCGCTCCCTATGCCGCTGCCCATGCCGCTTCCCATGCTGCTACTGCCTGTTCCGTCCAGCGACGCGGCGAGCGACGACCGGGCCCTGTGGCCATACGTGCTAGGAGTGGACGACGATCCCGGAATCCTGTTCGCCTGCTCGCTCCGCTGCCGCAAAAGCTCCCCTTCCGCGCTGCCCAGCTCTCCGTAGAGTCCCAACACGGCCCCGCCTACGCCCTGGTTCTCGCCAGTGTCGTGAAAAGTTTGGTAGATCTGCGGCCGCAGCGCGGACGACACTGACAGCGTCCGACGATGGTTGTTACGAGTGGGTCGGTCTCGCGCAATCTCGCCGCCCGAAGTGAGAGCAGGAGACCACGTGGTCTCCTCAAAATCGAAATTATCACCACCGGCATCTGGCTCGTAGTTACTATAGCTGTTGTAATCCCCCTCAGCAGGTCTGTAGCTGTTACTTTGACCCGTGCTGCGGCTGCGAGGATACGCAGGAGCCGCGGTCAATTCCGCTTCCCCCTTAAAGCGCCGAGAAAATGAGTCTGTCCGCTGCATGATTGCAGTCAAAGAGCTACTGAAAGCCGTCTCGTGTAGCTATGCATGACGCCAAGTACTGGCTAATTGATGCCACGCTCGCGGAAACGTTATGGCAATGTCACTAACTCATATCGAAGAACCAGACTACCAAGGATAAAATGATAAATTACGGTCTCACCTGGCATACGACAACCGAAATATTTCCTGTCGTACGACCACGAAAATCACGGCAAAAGCTTCTTCTCAGCAATGTGACAGGGAACTGCATAAGTTAGGGTTGTTCAAAGTGGCAGCACGCTCCGTACGACTTAGTTAGGTGGAGCACAGAAGAATGGAACCGTCAAGGCACGGGGTGAGAGATTTGGTCCTAGGGTACATCTAGGTCCTAACCTGGCCTGGTATGGCAGAGCGGGGCTGCTGCAGCCACAGGCATCGGATTTGAACGTTTGGTGTGCGCATTCGGTTCGGAGGAAAGACACGACCCAGCCACACAACCCACTGCTCGAGCCTTGTGAAATGTGTGGGGTGTGGGAAATGGCGGTGTGGTGGGGCACCACGGCATCTTCGAGAAAGATGAAATTTGAGGAAGTGGGCAGCAAAAGAAAACGTTTCCCCCGAGAAGTTTGTTTGTGGACTCTTGACCAGATTTGGCAGGTTGCAGAGGTTATTGTTATGAATTATCAAACAGAGTTGCGCGGAATAACGAATAACGAGGCTGTGACTCAATGAACTGATCATACAATGAAAGGCATGCGATTATATAGCGAGGCAACCTAGCTAGGCGGGAACCTCGGGAACACGAGGTTGAGTGCAGGTTGGGCAAAGGAAAACCGAAGGCGACGCGAGGTTGCTTCGGCAGCAAGCAAAGCGGCCGAACGTGCACTTCCGAAAGTTGGGGTTGTACGCGGTTGAGTAAACCCCAGTAAGGAAAAAAGGGTTTTCCTTACACTACCCCCCCCTTTAGGCAAGGTGGTCAACATCCGCAGCTCGCTTGCGGACGAGATAATCACCAAGAAGCGGGGAAGCTTCAAGCGAGGCGGATGGCACCCATGTGTCGTCCTCACTGGTGCGGTCAGTCCAACGGATTAGAAAATCCACGTGGCGCCCAGAAGCGTCGAGCCGAACACGATGCGCCAAAATCTTGGACGGGTCAAGTGTCGGTTCCGGGACAGGTCGGGCTGTCGGGGCTGCGTTCTGGCGCGTGATGTCTGTCGTGGCAGGCACGAACTTGCGAAGTAAGCTGACGTGGAAGGCGTCGTGAATACGCCAGTCGTCGGGTAGTAGCAGCTTCGCGGTGACAGGTGTCACCATCTTGATGATCTTGAAAGGCCCACTGAAACGTGGCCGTAATTTCGATGGGCCGGGCAGATGCAGGTTCTTCGTGTCGAGTAGCACTAGTTGCCCAGCTGTCATGACGATTTCCCGTCGTAGGAGATCCGAGTATTTGCGGGAAGTGGTATTCGCCTTGCGAATTGCGTCCGCAGCCTTCTCGCGAATTTCTTGGAGTTCTGTCACAAATGTTTGTGACCTCGGGACCGGGTTGTCAAGTGTAGTCGTTGTAGGTACCACCGGGTCCATCCCGTAATTCAAGAAGAACGGGGAGTGATTAGTCGTGCTGGACGGAGCGTTGTTGAACGCGAATTCCAGCATGGCGAGCGAATTTTCCCAGCGAGCGGGGTCGGGGCAGTTTGTCCTGGTGAGCTGCTCCATCGTCTGATTGGTCCGCTCGGTCTGGCCGTCGGTTTGCAGATGGTATGCCGACGAGAACTGTAGCTTCGTGCCGTACTGCGCCCACGTCTCCTTCCAAAATTTCGATGTGAACTTTGGGTCCCGGTCGCTGATGATTGCTGATGGGATGCCGTGTAGTCGCACAACGGTGGAGATGAAGAGGCGTGCAGTTTCTTCGGCGGTGATTGTCGTGCGACAAGGTGCGAAATGCGCCATTTTTGTGAGGCGATCGACGACGACGAGTACAGCGTCGTTGCCGGACGGCCCAGCTGGCAGCCCCGTGACGAAATCCATCGTCACCTGTTGCCATGGTCGTTCGGGTGGCTCGAGAGGTTGCAGCAACCCAGCTGGCCGCTGACGTGTCGATTTCATGGCTTGGCACACCCTGCATGAGGACACATATCGCTGCACGTCGTTAGAGGAATCGGGCCAGTAATATTGACGGTGCAATAGCTTCTGGGTTTTATCAACCCCAAAATGTCCGGAGAGGTTGGAATCATGGACCTCCTGAATAAGGAGTTCACGCAGCAGCCGGTAAGCGGGAACCCAAATCCGGTCAGTTCCGGCCTTTAGGTAATAATTCCCCTTCTGCGTCGTCGCCTGCTGGTGATTTCCAGTCGTGAAGAACGGGTCCGTAGTGTAGCCGTGGGTGAATAGTCCCGAAAGGAGCGGGTTCGAATGGGTGATCAGCACAGCAGCGGATTGGACTGTCGGTCGGGTCAGGGCGTCGGCGATGTTGTTCGCACCCTTCTTGTAGGTGATCCTGTAGTGGAAGTGTGACTCCATGTAATCGAGCCACCGGATTTGTCGCGGGTTGAGGTTGGGTTGCGCTCGAAGGTACTGTAGGGATTTATGATCGGTGCGAACAGTGACGTCGGTGTCAGAATGTTGTATTTGTCTAGCCTGCAGTGGGGTACTCTATAGCGAGTACAGCCCAATCTAGGGTTTGCTATTTGTATCTCAACTGCTGCTAGTCCAAACCCTCTTTCCTGTTTCCTCGTTCAGTTCTTCTGACATGGTATCAGAGCAGGTCGACCCTCCTGGGTCGATCCTGTGGGTGGGCCCACCACCTCACTGCTTCCGCTGCTACTGCTAATCTGTATGTTGCACGCCCCGTGGCGTGCGACGGATTTTTCATCCCGCCGCGCGCTCGGAGCGTGCGGCGGTTTTCTGCCCGCCGTGCGCCCCGAGGCGCGCGGCGGTTTTCTGCCCGCCGTGCGCCCCGAGGCGCGCGGCGGCTTTCTGCCCCGTCACTCCGCGCGTCGCCCCCGGGAGGCGCTGCGACGGGCGACGGGGACCCGCGCGTCGCCCCCCGTCGCCCGTCGTGGCCCGCGCGACCTGCGTAGGGCCCGCGCGCGGCCCGTACTGCCTGCGCGCGGCCCGTACGGGCTGCGCCAGGCCCGCGCGCGGCCCGTACGGGCTGCGCCAGGCCCGCGCGCGGCCCGTACGGGCTGCGCCAGGCCCGCGCGCGGCTCGGGCCGCCTGCGCGCGGTTCGGGAGGCTGTGCCAGACCCGTGGGCGGCCCGTTCTTCGCTGCCCCTGTCCTCCCCGCTGTCCCCCGTGCTTCTGAAGGCGCCCCACCCCTCCTTCTGCCCGTACTCCTGGATTAGGGTTTGGGGGTGGGGGGTATGGGGGTGCAGCTTCTGTGTGCCGTTCCCTGCTCCTCCTCCTCCTCCGTCTCCCTGTGCTGCAGCTGCCGCTGAGGGGGGTGGACCTGTTGGAGCCGTCGGAGTGGTACTAAGGGGGGGGTGAAGGGGGAGTGGAGCTAGCGGTGTAGCAGCGGGTGTGTGTCAGGGGGAGTGGGATAGTTTGGGGAGGTTGAAGGGGGTGGCCGCCGTGAAGCCAGCAGCTCCAGTCGCCCGTGAGACCGTTGCGCCAGTCGCCCGTGAGCCCGTTGCGCCAGTCGCCCGTGAGCCCGTTGCTCCAGTCGCCCGTGAGTCCGTTGCTCGTCTGCCGCTACTTTCAGCCGCGGAGCCAGTTACTCCAGTAGCCCGTGTGCCAGTTGCTCCAGTTGCCAGTGTGCCAGTTGCTCCAGTTGCCCGTGTGCCAGTTGCTCCAGTTGCGCCGTGTGCCAGCAGCTTCAGCTGCCGCCCACTACCTCCTCTCCTCTCATAGTCTCTTTCCTCCTCCTCACTTGCCCGTTGTGACTACCACTAGCTTTGCTCATAATTGTGAACTTTAAACTATTGCTTCTTGAACTTGTGCTCAGAATGTGTGGTGACATTGTGATCCACCCTGAGCTTGTACTGCTTTGCTTGCTCTGCTGATTACACCCCACTTTGGCTATGGGGGTGTGTCAGAATGTTGTATTTGTCTAGCCTGCAGTGGGGTACTCTATAGCGAGTACAGCCCAATCTAGGGTTTGCTATTTGTATCTCAACTGCTGCTAGTCCAAACCCTCTTTCCTGTTTCCTCGTTCAGTTCTTCTGACAGTCGGCTCCAGTCAGGTAGCATCGCCACAGTTTAAACGCGTGAATGATGGCGAGCATCTCCTTGTCGTGAATCGGGTAGTTGCGCTCGGCTGCCTGCAACTTGCGTGACTCGTAGGCGATCGGTTGTAAGCCGTTGCCAAAATCCTGGAGCAGCACTGCGCCGATGGCGAAATCTGAAGCGTCGGTGACGACTTCGAACGGCTTGGATGGGTCGGCGATGCGAAGAACCGGAGGGGACACCAGCAACTGCTTCAACCCCTGAAAAGCCGCCTCAGCTTCCTCCCCCCACACGAAGTTCCTGTCCTTGTGCAGCAAGTCGGTCAGCGGGCCGGTTATCCCCGCCATATTCGGGATAAACCGCCGGACATAATTCACAAACCCCAGAAAACTCTGAAGTTCCGTGACATTAGTCGGGGCCTTCCACTCCTGGATGGTCTTGATTTTCTTCGGGTCGATTTTGATGCCGTCGCGTGAGATGACGTGCCCCAAAAACTCCAACTCTTGCTTAAAGAACTCGCACTTAGAACCCTTGGTGATGAGCCGGTTGTCCTGTAGCCGCTTAAACACTGCGTCGAGGTCGCGGAGGTGCTGCTCGCGTGTCCTGCTAAAAATCAGAATATCGTCCAAGTAGACGATAACACACTTGTCCAACAGATCGCGAAATACCCTGTTCATGGTGCGTTGGAATGTTGATGGCGCGTTCGTGAGGCCGAAAGGCATCACAGTGAACTCGTAACTGCCGTAGCGGGTTCGGAAGGCGGTCTTGTGACAGTCGTCAGCGAAGACCCTGATCTGGTGGTAACCGCCGCGTAGGTCAATCTTCGAGAAGTAGCGAGCGCCGCGAAGTTGGTCGAGGAGGTCGTCGGTGCGTGGGATGGGATAGCGAGACTTGATGGTAACCCGGTTGAGCGCGCGATAGTCGATGCACATGCGAATGCCGCCGTCCTTCTTCGGTGTGAACAGGATCGGTGCGGCGAAGGGCGAAGTACTGGGTCGGATGAAGCCCTTCTCCAACAGTGACTCAAGTTGACTTCGAAGCTCCGCAAGTTCGGGCTGAGTCAACCGCCACTGTGTACGAACAGTCGGTTGCGCGCCGGGCTCCAGCTGGATTTTGTGGTCCTCGGGGCGTTCGGGTGGTAGTCCAGGTGGCAGGTCGTCGGGGAAGATGTCGGGGTACTGTCGAATCAGCTCCGCTAAATCAGGTGGTACAGCTGCGCACAGCTTCTCGATGTCGTTTCCGTCGGTGTCGGCTGCCAACTCGCGCAAGCATACGGCGAACAGTTGCGCACCCCTGTTGACGTGGCGTGTAATAGTGATGGCTTTGACGCATGTAGACTCGATGCAGTCCGGAGTCCACGAGGGTAGAGTAATCAGCTTTCCGTCCTTGCTGATGCTGCACGATCCCGTCGTCCAATCGATTATCGGGTTGTGCCGTCGCAGCCAATCGCGCCCCAGGAGCACGTCGCATCCGTCCAACGTCGTCGCGAGAAACTTCATGCTGAAGCCGAAATCGTCGCCGCACTCAATCCGCACCGTCCGTGTTTCTTCCAAAATCGCCAGAGGCGTCCCATCCACGAGGCGGGCGTCAATTTCGGGCAGACACCTGTCCAGCTGCAACTTGCATTTTTTTGCTGTCGCCAGATTGAAGAGGCTATGGCTAGCCCCGCCATCGACGAACATTTTTATTTTTTTCTTAACAACCGTGCCAACAACCAGCACAGGGTGATCCACATGTTCACCCCCGTTATTCGTCCGAGTGCGATCGATTGCATGAATCGGAACCACGACTCGGTGGGGATGGTGGGGTTCGGGCGACAGAGCGCAGTCAGTAAGGGGCCCGTCTGTTACTGACTCTTCCCATTTCCCGGCTCCTTCCCGTCGTTCCTCTTTCCCTGCGTCCTGTCGGGGCAGTCTTTATACATGTGGCCCGGCTTCCCGCACTTAAAACACAACCCTGTAAAAGGGCGGTCTGGCGCATGGACTCCGTTAATCGTGGCCCGCTGGGTCTGTCCACGAAATCGGTTTCCCTCCCGAGAACTCGATCTCGCCCACTGCATCAGCGCGTCTGTGCTCTCGGCCAATCGGACGGCTTCGTTGAATGTTGTCGGGCGGTTTCGGCGCACCTCGAACTGTATCTCGTACTTGAGGCCGCTGATGTATTTATCCAACCGCTCCGCCTCCGCCATGTCGTCCACTTGGTCCGCGAGCGCCATAAACGACGCCGTGTAGCCTGAACAGAAGCCAACTGTGACCAGGTACGCAGCTTCATGCGAGCGTGTTCCGAGGCGGATACATGCTCGAAACGCTCTCGTAAGGCTGCGCCCCACTGTTTCCACGTGCGAATTGTGGCCACACCGAATATTGATGATGCCCTCCCATTAGCAGAGTCGGAAGTCCCGTCTGCCGCATGTGTCACACCTGTCGGGGTCCCCGTGTCCAAGGTTCGTCGCCACCACTCAAGCGCCGGGCCTCGCAGAAGCGATACCGCGTAATTAATACGCGTGGCGTCGTCGTTGACATTCGCTGCAGTGAAGAACACCTCCACGCCGAACAACCACCCCTTAACAGTAGTGTTCTTGTCTGTAGGGTTGTACGGGGGCGGGCTCGTAGGCTTTATCTTGATTGTTGTCACTGCAACTGTTGTCGCTGCCGCCGCTCGCTGCCTATCTTCTTCTTCGAAGCCGCGTGTGAGCTCCTCCAACGGATTGCCGCTCACCGCTTGACCAGTGCTCTCGCCTTCTTCAGCGGGCGACTCCTGGCGCGCTTCACCTCGCGCCTGGCGTAGCTCGTTGTTTTCTTCACGTAGTCTCTCCACTTCTGTCGTTAACGCCTTCATGCCTGCCGACATCTCCGCCACTTGCTGCATCAACGCGTCAAATGCCGCCTGATCCATGAGTCGCAAGCTACGTCTAGTAGTCAAATGGGTATCCGTGACTATCCGGCAACAGTGCAAGCGCAAAAGCTATCGGGGTCGGGCAAGTTTAATTTAATAAACTTTGCAACCAACCGCTTTGCAGCCCACCGTACCAGTCACACCCGTGCCTCTAAACTACCCTGGAAAAGCGGGGTGAACTAGGAAAGTAGCTCTGATACCAGGTGTTATGAATTGTCAAACAGAGTTGCGCGGAATAACGAATAACGAGGCTGTGACTCAATGAACTGATCATACAATGAAAGGCATGCGATTATATAGCGAGGCAACCTAGCTAGGCGGGAACCTCGGGAACACGAGGTTGGGTGCAGGTTGGGCAAAGGAAAACCGAAGGCGACGCGAGGTTGCTTCGGCAGCAAGCAAAGCGGCCGAACGTGCACTTCCGAAAGTTGGGGTTGTACGCGGTTGAGTAAACCCCAGTAAGGAAAAAAGGGTTTTCCTTACAGTTATGCCTGTGCACTAATAGTTGGTGCTCTAATTGAAGCACTAGACATCAAGGATATTCACATATATATTGAAGTGTTGCAGCATGACTATACATGTAGTATACGGTATTTCAGTAGAGCACTAACGTGAGCTCTGATGAAAGTGATATCGTAATTATGCAAAGAATTTTTGCATAAAACAAACAAATAAATTAAAAATCATGTATTTACTTGTGATAAAACCTTAACAGCTACTGTTCGGGTGTTGTTAAGTGGAATTCTATCTTTTTGGGTTGCGAAGCAACCTATTACAATCGTTATGTACAATTTTTTTTTCATCTAAGATTAAACAAATTTAGTAAACGGAAGCTACAATAAGTGACTCACTATGTATTTGTCAGAATCACTAGGCAAGAATGATGCATTGAATGGGAGAATTGGGTACAAGTAGCAAACCCTAGTTGGGGTTGTACCCCATATTGGCTACCCCACTACAGCCTACAAGCATAATATAGTTTAACACACCCCCATAGGCAAAGTGGGGGAGAACAAAGGGTCACAAGACCAGTCCAGCAAAGCAAAGCAAAGCCCAGGGTGGATCACAACGTCACCACACTCCGAGCACAAGCAAAGGCCACAAGGCCAGTTCACATGCAGTGCTAGATATAGTACAAGACAAGCAACAAGATATATATAAAGTACAGTACAAAGAATGTCAAGCAGTGAGCAAGTGAGGAAACGTGGACACAAGGCCTAAAGAAGTACAGTGCCGCTGATGGTCACTAGGCGGGAGCGCCTTGGTGAAGATATCAGCAGTGTTGGCCTTCGAGTCCACGTACACAAGCCGAAGCTGACTGCGCTGCTGAAGCTCTCGAGCAAGAAAGTAGCGAAGAGCAATATGCTTCGTCCTGTGCTCCAGTCTGTGCTCCTGACACAAGGCAAGAGCCGCCTTGTTGTCACCATACAGAACTGGAGGAGAACTAGGCCGCTCTCCCAAGTCAGTCAGCAGGTAGGTGAGCCAGCGTAACTCCTGTGCAGCCATGGCTGTGGCGTAGATCTCAGCCTCACAACTAGAGCCGAGAACAGAGGAAGAGCGGGTGGACCGCCACGAGACAGAACCTGAGCCAAGGCTGAAGGTGTAACCCTGTGACGACCGCTGCGTAGCTAGGTCGTCCACCCAAGAGGCGTCCGAGTGACCAGTGAGGACAACTCTGTCGCGTCCTCCAAGCACCAGCCCCATGCCTGATGTACTGCACAGGTAACGCAGCACCCTCTTAGCAGCCTCCCAGTGCTCTCGCCTGTGTCTCCCAGGCGCAACGTAACGAGCAAGGATGCTAAGAGGGTACGCGAGGTCAGGTCGCGTGCAAGTCATCAGGTACATGAGGCAGCCTACAAGCTCTGGGTACGGGCCACTCGGCTCTACGGACTCGTCCGAAGGTGGAGCTGAGAGCGAGTGGCTGGTAGCCAGAGGTGTGGCCTGTGGTGAGGAGAACTGGAAGCCGAAGCGCTGAAGGACCTGCTGCACCATGTGTGACTGAGTCAGGGTGATGGTGCGGCGAGCTCTGTCCCGGGTGATCTGCAAGCCAAGGTAGCTACGCAGTTCACCCAGGTCAGTGCAGGTGTGTCTCTTCTGCAGCTCCGACTTCACACGAGCGAGTGCCTCAGTGTCAGCAGTAGCAAAGACCAAGTCGTCGACGTACACGAGAATGTAGAACGGCGGCAGCGACGTGTCTGTGCGCAGAAACAGCGACGGGTCAGCAGTAGACGGCGCGAACCCAAGAGCCGCAAGAGTAGTCCTCAGTGTGTCGTGCCACTCACGTGGCGCCTGGCGGAGACCGTAGACTGGCCGGCGGAGACTCCACTGGGTACCAGGGGGAAACGACCCAGTAAAGCCAGGTGGGCGGCGCAGCCAGATCTCCTCGTGCAGGCTGCCCTGCAGGAAGGCTGTGCTGAAGTCAAGAGAGTGAAGCTCGTAGTCACGCTGAGCGGCAACGTGCAGCAGAACCCGAAGAGTGGTCATCTTCGGGGTGGGGGAGAAGGTCTGGAAGAAGTCGACCCCCTGACGCTGACTGAAGCCTCTAGCAACGTAACGAGCCTTGAAGACAGGCGGAGAACCTGGCGGCCGCTTCACCCTGAAAATCCACATGCCATCGACGATGTTCGCCCCAGGAGGGGGAACCTCGTCGACGTAGGTGCCTGTAGACTTCCAGGATGCCATCTCTGCGTCCATGGCTGTCTGCCACTGAGAGGAGTAGGGACCCGAGATCGCCTCTACGTAAGTGCGCGGAGTGGGGATGTCTAGTGCATCCGGGTCTCCCTCAGGGGCAAGCAACGAGGCCACGAGATGAGGTACAGCAGCCGCAAGAGAGTCAAAGTCCTCCTGCCTGTCCTCAAGGACGTCCGTGCCGGCTGCGAGCGGGCGGCTCGGCGAGGGGCGCGCGAGGGCGCTAGTGAGGGGCGCGCGAGGGCGCTAGTGAGGGGCGCGCGAGGGCGCTAGCAAGGGGCGCGCGAGGGCGCTAGCAAAGGGGCGCGCGAGGGCGCTAACGAGAGGGCGCGCGAGGGCGCTAACGAGGGTGCGCGCGAGGGCGCTAACGAGGGCGCACGAGGGCGCTACGAGGCTAGGGAACGGGGTAGCGTGGTAACCGCATGCGAGCGGTGGTGGGCCCTAAAAAAAAAACGATCGGTAGGTCCTAGGGACCTCCTGCTCTGATACCATGTCAGAATCACTAGGCAAGAATGATGCATTGAATGGGAGAATTGGGTACAAGTAGCAAACCCTAGTTGGGGTTGTACCCCATATTGGCTACCCCACTACAGCCTACAAGCATAATATAGTTTAACAGTATTTGCCACGGCAATTGAGCACGAGCCGTAACCACGTTCGTTGTCATGTCCTACCGGTAGTTTGCTTTTACTGAACCTACGGTATACTGTATGGAAGATTCATGAACATGGGTTGCCCATTGATGTAACTGTGAACGCGTGACATATGCCTGATTATGTTATGCATAGATGAAATATAATGATGGATATGTGAACCAAATATTGAATGAAAAATGCATAAGAATAATGCATATGTTATTGTGGTGAATGTAATGTTATTTTGATATTAATCTAGTGTAGTGACATGAATGCATAGCGTGATAGAAATGCGTAACAGTTAAATGACCCAGACTCTATGCTACCGGCATCCCCTACCTAGCATCGGGGGGAGCTCAATAACATAATTTCTGAACCATCCAACTGCTACATGAAACAACACAATCTGTGTAAACTAAAAAAATGATCAAGATCTATCAAATCCAGTTCAAGTGAACACACTCACTGAGTGGGCAAAGAACCTTCTCGGAAATGATAGGTTGACCATTTTTTAAAAATCCACAGATGCGCATTGTTAATGCAATGATAGATGTATATGGATGAGTATGCACACACCGAGACACATACGCACATACCGATATGCACACACATAAACTCAAACACAATCAGAAAATAAACCCAGAAGAAACCGAACATAACAATACAATAGCATCAATCATATAAACAAGAACAATTCTACTGTTTCTATTTGTCCTTAATTTCCCGAATGGTACAGCAAAGACTCTGCGGGGGAAAAGGGAGGGGAGATGTGGGAGGGGAAAGGAGTGGGGTAGAAAGGGCAGGAGGACGAAAGCAAAGACGCATAAGAGAACTACGATACGATGGAATTAAATGATTTAAAACATGAACAAACCGATCTAAAACGAGCACGGTGACAACGATGAAAAGAAAAGGCACATGATTGAGAATCATACAACAAAAACTAGAGTAGAAACGAAAGGAAGAAAGAAGAAAGGAAGTAGCAAGTTTGAAGAATAGATGCTAGATTATGAACAACCTAAAAACCAGAATGGAAACCTGGTGATTTAACGAAGGGACTAGAATCTATGTTTAAACAGCCTGCATCCCTAAAAAACGGCAAACACAGAAGTAGACGACCAGGAATGAGATGGCGAAAACCTAGTCTAGGTTATAATCATCTAAGTTATTTCAAATTGATAGCTCTGAATCTTTCGCACTTTAGGGTGGTAGGTAGAGCATGGCTAGCAGGCGGGTATCAACCAAGCCCCACCAACGAAATGAAAGGATGGAGGGAAAATAGATACACAAACCCTAAGGCAGTTACAATCCCGTCGCAAAAGACGGCCCAAACTTTTACGATGCTTTTCGGATTCAGAGGCTTTGGCGGAGACGGTAAAAAGCAAACATTTTATTCAGAAGGGGCAAACGAACATTACTACAAACTTCTCTTCTACTCTCCTAATTTTCGGCAATCATCCTCTTCTCCACCCCCTCCCCACTCCCTCTCTGATTCTGTCTCTTTCCCATGCTCTTCTCTCACCAAATTCTGCCGCCTTCGTTGCTGCAGCTGTCGCGGACAGCATGCCTCGAGATGGATAGCGTGGTTGTGTCGCCACTCCATAGCGCGCCTGGCACAAGCAAAAAGTCGCCAGCGCGCCAAGCACCAGCAGATCGATGCCAGCGAGAGGATAGAAG